AAGCCAGGATGAGTGGGAAACAGTCTGTGGTTCAGAGATATGCCTGTAGGGAATTCATTGAGGATAACACCCTCAGAGTATCTCTGACAGGGAGAGAGAAGGATTTGGGGGCAGAGCAGATTCTTAGAGGAGCCCTGCAGAGAGAGCTTCCCTGAAGTGGGTCCCTTGGCAACCCCAGGGAAGGAGCTGGTGGAGGCAGCTTCCTCCGGCTGCGGGTGCTGCTGGGAAGAGAGATCACCTGTGAACCATCAGAAGCCCACACACCATCTGGGAGCTGGGGAATGAATCTCTCAGCTCTGGGGAGGTGGGAGGATCTGCTTTCCTTAACGCTACACAGGAACAAACCGAGATGTGGAAAAGTTAGGTAACTCACTTCGATTTACACAGGAAGTAGGCAGCCAGTGCTCTGGCTCCAGAAGCCAGGTCTCTCATCACAGATTTCCCTACTGTGTTTAAAGAACTCACCAAAATGCTGTCCATCCTGGCTACTCCATCAGTTTAAATTGCTTCATTTGGGTGCTGGAGATATTCACTCCCTCTGTGCTATGAGTTCTAATCCCTTCAAGAGCTAAGTCAGTAGCTCTAAGTATCTTTGTGAGCGACATCACTCATGTGTCCTTTGGACTCTGTAAAGCTAAAGAGCTTCACAGATGAAAATTTGAACTAAGTGATGGAAAGCAAGGGTTTGCCTCTAAGTACCAAAGCAGGTATTATAATAACGGGGGGGGGGGGGAGTAGCACAAGCAGATTGCATAGCTTGGTCTCTGGACTCAGCTGTTGGGGCTGCCTCACTTGGTAGGACTCACTGCTCTCTGCTTGAACCGGAAGCTATACCTTCCCCAGAAGCCCAAGTGTCAAGGATGTCTACCCCAGCAGCTACAGCAGAGAAAAGCGTGTCTCAACAGACATTCTCTTCTAGCTAAATGATGGAGAGAGAGTGTAGTGTGAGGAGACGTACCCAGGAGCTATGGGGGCCGCGCTTGACTTCCATCCAGATCTACCACCCACTGAGGACTTAGTGAGGAGACCCACATTCAGCTGGTTCACCACATTCCACACTGCCCATGCCTGTTAAACACAGATAACTCCAAGCTCCCCATCTCCCTTCCATCTTCTCTCCTTTTTCTGCTTACACCATGTTGATGGCCTTCTCAGTTCATGGCCATGCCGGTAGCTTCTATTTTTGTTCCTCCTTAATAATGTGGAAACTAATGGCATAAAGCCCCAGGCCCTGGGTCACAGATGGTAAGCAGTGGACTGAGGAACACAGCTAGCAGGGCATACTCCCTCTCCCTGGGGCGAGCTCTCTGTCTTGTCAACAGTGACTTTCGTGTCCCCTCAGACCTTTCTCTTCTTAGCTACCAGCACTCCTCCAGCCGCCAACTCTGGCAGCGTCTATGGCTTCTTTCTGGTCTCCCTAGGGGGCAGTTTCAGGCGGAAAATGGTGCAGTGCTCTAAGATCTGACTTGAAACAAGACAGGCTTTGTTATTCAACAGGGACACAGAAATTAAAGATGTCTGAGAGGAAAGGTGTACGAGACTCAGAAAGTCGAATGCCACACGCTTTCCTTTGCCTATAGGTTCTAGATATTACCATTTACGTGTGAAGGCTGGAGCTTCTAAGTCAGGAAACTATGAAGGGGAGGAAAAGAGGCCATGGGGAGGAAGAAAAAAAAGAAAGTTCAAGGATGCATGCGACATGAAAGAAGAATGGGGCTACTGGGGACAAAATGGGTAAGGGCTAGGAGGACAGAGGAAGGACATGTGGGTGGGGATCAACAAAACAAAGTCTGTATGAAAATTCAGTGACATCCATTTCAGTTTGTAATGTTAACCGGAAGAAAACACATAGAAGATTAATATGACTAACAGGGCATATTACAAAGGTGTTAAAATAATTATGTTTGATTAACTAAGAAATATAAGTAAAAAGAGGAGGTACACAATTCCTGCTAAGCTGATGGGCTACAGAGGTGGCTCAGTGGTTAAAGAGCATTTACTGCTCTTACAGAGGACTAGGGCTCTGTTCTCAGGATGTACATGCCGGTTCAACTCTGCCTCTAACTCCAGCTCTAAATCTTACTCCCTCTTTTGGTCTCTGCAGGTACTGCAGCACACATGGGACACATACAAATATGCAGGCAAAAAAATTTAGACATGTAAAATAAAATAACAATTACTGCTAAATTGGATTGGATACTGATTTCACCAGGTTGAAGTAAAATAAACATGAGTGTTGTGTTAGAGTAAGTTAGGAGACCTCTAAAGCCTGGTCAATTATTCCGTATAAAATATAAATCCGCTAAAAACTAATAACCATAAATGAACATGTGAGATCTCAAGAGGCAGAAATTTTGAGGCTCAAACATATATTATAATCACACTACTTGAAAACTATCCTTGGATGGCTCCCCTAAAATATACTTAACCCATCTTTGTCAGGTGGGGAACACTCTGAAGTCATACTCTCATAGAAAGGGAATCATTGCTCGCATGCTGGGGCCAGAAGCAGCCAGAAGAGATCACTCAGGGAAGCAGAAAACATAGCCACGCCTACGATAGACCAAGTGAGCAGAGCTCTGGTACCAGAGTGCCCTCTGCCCCGCTCTACCAGCGGACACAATGAAAACTCTAAGAGGCTCAGGTTGACAAGGGCCTATGAGGTGGAACTGGTTTTGAGCTGGAAAGAGTTCAGATGTTTTTTATATTCACGTAAAGAGGAGGGCAAGGGCTGGATCACAGCGCTGTACATGGGGTTTCAGGTGGGCTGTGGAAGTCTGTGGAGGAATCAGAGCTGGGAATAGAGGCCAGCAGGCCTTTGTTTGGAAATGTGAGCAGAGAAGTGAGGAAGGAAACCTGTGGATAAAACAATGGAGACAGCCGCCTGTCTCTCAGAGACACCAGCTTTCCTGGAAGAGGGGGACCTGAGGGGTGAGTTTGGCCTTTTTGGTTTTGGTTTTCCAAAAGAGTCCACCATGTCAAAAGGAATTCAAGCAAAATAAAAAAGAGCTTCGGAAGATCAATCTGGAATGTGAGTAATGGAGGGGCCGGCACTTCGGATAGAAAGGACAGTGCGGAGCGACTGTGGTCCTCTGATGCACATTCAAGTTTGGAATGAGAGAGGCAGGAAGTGAGGGAGGGAACGGCGGGCCCTACCAAAGGAGAAACAAGTGGGGCTTGATTTGGTGGCTAATTCGACAGGAAGGCAGAAAATGAGATTAAACTAGAATATGATTGGGGCCCATGAGATGCTCTCTAAGTAAAGGTGCTTTCTGCCCAGCTTAATGGCCTGAGTTCAATCCTAGGGACCCAAATGGTGGGAGGAGAGAGCTTTGTCCTTTGACCTCTACCCCTGTATTGTGGTGCACATGACCCCAACACATACACACATACAGGCACACAAAATAAATAAAAATGCTATAGCTTTTTTTTTGAAAACATCAAGCTAGGATAGGCCAGCAGACAGAAAACGAAGGAGAAACGGCAGTGAACGCCGGAAGAGGTCAGGCAGGTGGTGGCCTGTGTGCCAAGTCTGTCCCGCGGCTCTGTGATTCTGTGCAGTAGAATTGCTGTACCGGAGCCTGAGTTTGATTAGTAGATTAAACATGAAGAGACATACGCCCCCCAGTTGACCCAACAGAGATACAAACCTCATTGTTGGACACTCACAGTACTCTTAAAGGTCTACACAACCAATTTTTGTATTCTTTTCCGACTATTCGACTTTTTCCCTCATAAAATCTCAAGACTGAAACAGCCACCATGATACCTTCTGGCACAAGAGAGCTTGTCCAAAACTCAAAATATTCTATATGTTACTAAAAGGTGAACACAAGGCCAGAAGGGAGGGGAACAGTGCCTCAAAGGCCCCTTCAATCTGAACTCAGCATTCCAGTGTCCCTTTTTCTGACCCTTCGTCGACTCTGATTGCAAAATGAGGATTGCGATTCTGAAGGATTAGCACATTCTGATCACAGGGCTGGAAGGACAGTTCTTTAGTTAAGGATACCCACTACTCCTCCAGAGAACTCAGGATCAGTTCCCAGCACCCACATAGCAGCTCACAGCCATCTGTAACGCTAGTTTCAGGGGATCTAATGCCCTCTTCTGGCCTCCAGAGGCACCAGAAATATATGTCACACATATTCATACATGTAGGCAATGCATGTAAAACACTCATAAAATAAATCTTGAAAACAAGAATATTCTTTCCAGCTCCCTGAAATCAGGTGTTTTTATGGAACTGTGTATTTTAACAACAACAAAGACTTAAATGTTAATTCCCATGTCTGAAGGAAGCTCCAATTTTATCTTTTAACACACACACACACACACACACACACACACACACACACACACACACACACACACACTTGTTTCCTAAAGTACTTCTTACAAGGCAGTTTTTCTTCCATTCATTCAGACTTTGCTCAGTAGCACATGGTCAGCCAGGTTAGGAAGACAAGAAGGGATTAAGCTTTAAGTTTGGTTTTAAAATAGTTGAAACTGTGTATTAGTTGTTGGCTCGGGTGATCTCTCCTTTCAGATGGAACTTGAGCCTATAAAAAACTCCAGTGGGAGAGGAAGGCGGCAAATGTGTTTGCTTTGCTTGGATAAATCTGTGAGTCGGTGTGCGCTGTCAAAGGACATTATTCCTCCATTGGAAGTCACACTTCCTACACAACGTGCGACACTCCGCCTTCTTTTCAGAGACTCTCAGGCAGGGTTCAAAATCTCTCCTGTCTTTCATACACAAGCCTGTGCTCCCCCACAAGAGTCTTTGTAAAGAGCATTTAACAATTAGACACCCTAGTAGCTATGGAGAGTTTCCAAACTGAGTTCTTCAGAGCAAATTGCTAAATAACAGGGCAAGCCCAAAACTCACCAACCATGAAGAAAGAAGACATACATGGGGGACCTGTGTTTAGTAAAGTGGTATGTGGAAAAGCACTCACATTACTGATAATAACCTGGTTCCAGACACAGACACACAGACTTACCAGATTAAGGAGTGTCAAGTACTTTGAACGTCCACCATCATGGAATTCCTTTAACTTCTCTTCATCCTTTCCAATATGTGGGATGTAATAATTGAGGAAAATGTACCAGTTCAAAACAAGGAAGTGGTATACGCAAGTGGTTGTCTTTGTCATGGCTTCCGTGGATTGAAGCAGTGCGCTTGCCTTTGAGTCCTGGGAGTCACGGCTGCTCTCTGTTCAGACTGGAGGGCTGTAGGAACAAAGGCCTCTGGGAATTAGAGTTTCAACACAGGCTGGAGTTTGCTTCTCTCTCAGGCACTTTTTCTTATAACCTTGGGAGGAACTCTTTCAATTAGCTGCACTTAGATAACCTGACGGTTTGCACATATTTCAAATAGGGCTTTAAGGCGAGCAACACACAAGAGCTGTACTTCGAACAGGGCACAGCCACTGCCTGACCTGTTTGCTACAAATGCCAACTCAGTAAAAGGTCATGCCTCTGTTCTTCCTCTTCATTTGGTCAGAAAGTCGGTGGTGGTAGTGGTGTCTCTTCAAAGAATGAGAGGCTGTCTTAAAACAGGAAGTAGAAACTTGGGTGTGTTTATGACAGATAAGGAAACCAGGTATAGTCATCCTACTTGTGAAATCTCTGGGACATTCTCAAGCTTGAAACAGCCTTTGATCCTCTAGGAACAGACTCAAGGGAGTCTCAGTCTCCCCCGCCCCTATACCAGAGAACTAACGAGGTCCAGACATGCCATCTGCATAGCATTTTTGTGCCCAGAGGGAAGAAGTTTGGGGAGATAGCTTTGGTCAGCATACCTGAGTGTAGACCCGGCTCGAGGGGAGCAAGGGCTTCTGCACTGCCCTGGGGAGCGGAAGACATAATTGGATTGGGAGAGCAATGGGCAGGACCCTACCTCAGCCAGTGCAGAAGGGGGCTGAAGAAGAACTGTAAGGGCCACGCCTTGTGACATCACCAGCTTGTTTCCCTGGGCAACTGACTTGGAGGGTTGAGCAAATTCTTGGAGAAATGCCCCTGGCGCCATTAGAGAAGTCTGCAGCTGATGTTATTGATGACTTCACCAGGGTTTACAGGAACTGAGAAGCCAGGCAGTGGTGGCCCACGCCTTTAATCCCAGCACTCGGGAGGTAGAGCCAGGTGGATCTCTGAGTTCAAGGCTAGCCTGGCTACAGAGTGAGATCTAGAAATGGCACAAAGCTACAGAGAAGCCCTGTCTCAGAAGAAAAAAAAAGTACTGAGAAAAAGAACTTCAAGGAGCTATGAGAACCCAAAGAAACCCAGAACTAATCTATCCACCAAAAGTCAACCAGACCAAACATTAGGACTCAGAGAGAGAGAGTGGTCCTTAGCCAGCATGTCTGCAGGGTAACCATTTCGTAGTTTGTTGAATGAAATATTACAAAGTCGTAGGCTTATAAACAAACGTATTTCTCCTGGTGCTGGCAGAGTCAGCATCTAGTACAGGTTCATTTTCTAGTTAACACATGTAATCCTCTTACCATGACCTCTCATGGAAAGACGTAAAACAGCTCCTATGGGCATCTTTGGAGCCAGAATCCTATCTGTGAAGACTCCTCTGTCTTTATGTTCAGGACTTGTCTACAGCCCACACCTCTTACTTGATACCATGACTTTGAGAGTTGGAATTTTACCCAATGAATTCGGGTAAGGCCTGAGCATTTAAGACAGAAAACTATTCACTATGGAGAGAGCGATCCAGGACATGGGGACAGTGCTCTGCAAAATCCCATGGTCTAGGCTGAAACTGCAAATAACATTGGCTTCTCTTGCTTTCTTTAGCATGGTTCCAAGCGCTTTATGGATGCCAGTTCTCTGAACACTTTAAATACCATAATGAGGTTAATGCTAAAATAACATGCTGAGTAAGCAGTGAAGAGGTAGAGTGGGTCCACATTGGTAACTAGTAGATCTCAAGGGCACAGAGAAACATTTGCTCTGCATACCTGCTGGTCCCCTTTTCAGTGTTTCTTCTAAGTGACTTTTATGTATTTATCTTTTTTTTTTCTTTTCTGAGACAGGGCTTCTCTGTGTAGCTTTGCGCCTTTCCTGGATCTCACTCCGTAGCCCAGGCTGGCCTCAAACTCACAGAGATCCGCCTGGCTCTGCCTCCCGAGTGCTGGGATTAAAGGCGTGCGCCG